CAAAAGATATCCTAGGTATACGTACATTAGGTCATTAATGAGACCATTATAATTGAGAGATAACCTAGCTATACGTACATTAGGTCATTAATGAGACCATCATAATTGAGAGATACCCTCGCTATACGTACATTAGGTCATTAATGAGACAAGTTATAATTAAGAGATACCCTAGCTATACGTACATTAGGTCATTAATGAGACCATTATAATTGAGAGATAACCTAGCTATACGTACATTAGGTCATTAATGAGACCAGTCATAATTGAGAGATAACCTAGCTATATGTTCATTATGTCATTAATGAGACCATTATAATTGAGAGATAACCTAGCTATATGTATATTATGTCATTAGTGAGACCATTATCATTGAGAGATACCCTCGCTATACGTACATTAGGTCATTAATGAGACAAGTTATAATTGAGAGATACCCTCGCTACACGTACATTAGTTCATTAATGAGACAAGTTATAATTGAGAGATACCCTCGCTATACGTACATGATGTCATTAATGAGACGATTATAATTGAGAGATAATCTAGCTACACGTGCTTGGGGTCAATAAAAAGACAAATTATCTTTATTACCTAGCTATTGTATAGGCCATTACTGAGACCACCATATATAAATGTGAACGGTTGGACAAGTTAACTTTGGTGTATTGTATCACTTTAGCTACCAAGAAAAAAAGACAATCATGTTCAATTCTTGACAATACAAACAGAATTTAATATCCTTGGTACAAATAAATTTGCAATGGGGAAATGCTTCTAGGAGACCATTGTATCCATATTGTTTTTGTCAACCATTTCCAATGTCATTTCGCATTCATTAATGTACATTTTTAACTTCGGTGGTATGGGTAACCTAGTGATGGCATCTCGTATGTTTCTTGTTTGGCCGAGTGTCAGTCTAATACACCCTCGGCACTGATGAGAAAGAAACAACTGCGGCTCCAACAAAACCTCAAACTGATGATGTTGTGGGGCATATTCATCACTTCTGTGTCTAGCGAGGTTCACATCATCACAGAGCTGTATCCACTGACGGTCAACCTTCCCTCCAGCCAGATATAGATAGTCAGTGAGGGTGGAGTCCCGCGAGAAGGCCGACAAATACATGGGAGTCTCATGAGCTCTGTTACAGATATTGATACAAGCACCTGCATTAACTAATAATTGGATCATTGAATGGCTTGGTTTTGAGTTTTGACCAATCAGTAGATGAGTTAATTCTTCTGTTGGAATTTTCTTCTTTCGTTTCTGATATTCTATTGAGGTGGATACCAGGATTTGTGTACTGTTTGGGGAACACCTGTCACAGGCAAGGTGCAATGCAGTGTTTCCATGACAATCCCTGATATTCAAATCACAGTTTTTTTCTATTAAAAACGCTACAATCTTCTCGGAATTGAAGATGATGGACTGAAACAAAGGTGGCCATCCAAATACGTCCTGGGAATCTACTGAAGCGCCATGATTGATTAGATTCTCTGCGATGTTTTGATGGTTTCGTTCTAATGCACGATGTAGTGGTGTTCTCCCACAACTATCGCTAGAAGTGATGTCAGCATTGTTTGAAAGTAAAATATTGACGGCAATATCAAACCCAAAGAAACAAGAATAATGTAAAGCGGTGGTTTTCCCGGCATCTGTGCCATTGATGTTGACTTCGTGGGCTAACAATTCTTTCAATGCATTGATGCAATTTCTAAGGACAGCAAAATGTATAGGTTTTAACGCCATGGTAGATTCCACAGATTTTTCAACATCACATCCAGCACGGATGAGTTGACATGCCATGTCCCCATGTCCAAGTTCCAGGGCGTAGGTGAGAGGTGTCTTGGCGTACAGAATCACAGCATCCAGGTTGACACCGTCGTTGATCAGTGAAGTCAGTAAACTAACATCCTGTTGCTCTATTGCTCCAACAATCTTAAACTGCATCTCCTTTTGGCGCATCTTAACTAGAAAACAGAATCAATTTAATGTGCATTATAAACTATACTTAAAGATAGCACAGTTATCTGAGGTAGGTTCATCAGCCCAAACAAAAATCACAGGTAAAACATGAAATTCACAAAAAGATGCAAAATTCATACATGTATATTGTCATTATACTAATATTTGTAGTTTCAAATCAAACCAGAAGTGCTAAAGATTAATGTTATGAGGCAAACACTTGCCATTAGTCAAAAACTCCTGCCATATAAATAGTGTTGAGGGATGTAGAGCCTTGAATAAGGGTCAAGGTCATTTAAATGAGTAATCTGTGTATCCCTTCACCTCAGTAAGCTACAGTCTATATGTCATTACTCTTTGCCTTATGGGTTTTAAGAAAAAGATGATTAAAAGTGTTAACAAATTTGACCTCTGTGACCTTGAATGTAACCTGTCAAGTTCATTTGTATGAACAATTTGTGTAGCACTTCAGTTGAATATTCAAGGAAGTCAATCAAGTACATGGCAAATATGACTATGAATGCAGTTCTTCAGAAATCATTTGAAGTTTTCAACGTTTACTCCAGTCACCTTAAATGCATTGGAAGCTAGGCCATTTATTTGAAAAAATGTTTGATTGCCCTTTATTCACCCAATTAATGATAAACAAGCTACCTGCTATATTAATGACCCTTGACTGTGTTTATCCTAAAGAGGTTAATTAAATAAATAAGATGACTACTTACAGACGAATGCCATGTCATAACTCAACTCAAATTCCCGCCAGATTCTGTGTATGTCACACAAACAATGCACATATTAAATTCATCGCAACATTTCAAGACCAACTGGTCCCTTTGTCAACCCATGACTGCATGAGTACATGTAAGCAATCTTAGCTTTTTAAAGGGACCAGTCAGTCTTAAAACATTTCCACATGTTTAATATGTACATTGTTTGTGTATGAAATAAAACTTTGATAATAATATGATGTATATGAGATACAATGGCTGATTATAACACTTAATCCCATAGCCCAAGTTTCCTCTGGCCCTGACACCAGACTTAGACATTCCCACACCAAACAGCTATCTGTCAAAATGTCTAGGTCTGGTGTCAGGGCCAGAGGAACCCACACCAGACATCTATCTGTCAAAATGTCTAGGTCTGGTGTCAGGACCAGAGAAAACTTTGACTATTAATCCCAGTGACGGACACACAGTACTTACTTGCTTGGTCGATATCCGACAGACCGAAACAACTTCTTCCACAAGACGGAGAGCTTTCCTCTATAGAAGGGGATTGCATTTGGCTGAGAGGTGGGGGCGGAGGGACAGGACACTGAGCATTGTTACTTGAAGGTGTATCTGATTCCATCTGAAATTCAATTTGAAATCCAAATTAAAGCCATAGACATGTGTTAAAAGGTTGAGGTCAAAAGTATATATTGACACTTTGGCTAATTCAAAACATGTTACATATCAGTACATCTATTAGCACTCATCAACCAGGATAGACTGAGTTTCCTCTGGCCCTGGCACCAGGCTTAGATATTTTGACAGGGTACACCAGACATCTATCTGTCAAAATGTCTTAAGTCTGGTGTCAGGGCCAGAGGAAACTCAGGCTACACCAAGCAAGGACAAAGCTCAAAGGTTGGTAAGTGATAAATTAAAATTGTTGCTAATAAGAAACAAAAGGTTTTGAAAGCAAAATAAATCCTCAAAACTTATCAACCTTATTCGTCTCAACTAAATTCAATCAGTATAATGATATAGGATGGTCTTGATTTTGTTTTATTTTGTTTTATTTTTTACTAACCACAGGTTAACTCTAACCAGCCAGCGCCTGGAGTAAGGGTTGAAGAAAAATAAAAAGATATACTCAGTTATATCAGTTTACCGGTCTGTATTAAGCTATTAGCTTTTGGACCTCCTTGATTTTTGTCTCCATGATTCTATGGAGCTCCTTAATTTCCTTTACTACAGATTTATTTATATTCTTGATTTTATGTCCTATATGATGCGCCTAGTTCCTGCTGTATTCACCATTAATTTAGGTACAATATATATATACAGTTCCTGAGTGACTTAGCAGCAACATGGGTTGAACTTTGCTTCAAGATCCTTCCAATGATGGTTCAAGGTAGATTTAAAGCCATTCAATGTGCCTGTGTTCACAATATTTCCTGGCAAGCTATTGTTATACTCACAATACAACACCTTAACACTCACTCAGTCATCACCCAGGACAAAACCCCTACTTTACTGTATGATATAAATCCATATATATCTCTTATTAACTTGAAATTCAAATCTACATATTTATGTGAAACCATATTCAAATACTCCTCTTAGTTCAAATGGACCAAACTATTGTACTTCGGACATATAGTAATTAACATATCAAAACAGGTTGACGTAAAAAGTTTTTAAAAACAATACATGTTATGCCGTATTTGCACTTTTTACAGATTATGAATTCCATTTGTTACAAAAATATCTTTTATCTAGGGTGCTTGATCCATATGTCAACAATTATGTTTTCCTTTGCATAGAATATACAATGGTATTAGGCACAATTAAAGTTATCCAGCCTTTATTATCTGTTAAGTCTTTTCACAATAACATTTTACACACAGGTATATAAGATTTTAGCTAGTATATATATATATATAAAATGAATTATAAGGGAATGGGCAATACTTTCATTTAACATTAAATTCTTTGCGTAAAACTTCAAAAATAAACATACAATTTTCTTTTTAGATCATGATTGACTTCTTGTCTCGTAAAAAAATATCGGACTTGAGCAAGGCTACTTCTGAGTATTTAGTCTTGCTCTAGTTCGAAATATTATCGTTTTAAGGACGGGGGGAGTCGATTCAATTTAAGCACCTATAGTAGCTATGTGATTAACAAAAATCTTTAAAACACTTATAAATGTAAATTATGACTGAGAAACCAACGCTGCTAGAGTTCTTACACTCCGGTCCGGGATCCGCGGCCTAACAATATCCACGGCGGCTTTTTCACATGTCACCGAGCAATAGCCGTCAATGTTATTGTTTATATCTAGTTCACTACAGGAAAATAAGTACATCACAACTTTTTGAGCATAGATTAGCATACTTACGGGTAAAATGGATGTCTACACCAGCTACTTCCTTATTTGGCAGTGTGTGTTGATGGGTTACCTCCCTTCACATTGTGTTGAGGGGCTCACCATAGGAAATATCATCACGGTGACGTACACTCGATAATGTCTTGGTGCTTATTGTTATTATATGAAACATTTTCAATCTATTCAATTCAAACTACTCGACATCAAAACCTTGCTAACAATGCATGTACCATGTACCGACTTATACTTTAAAATTTAATTGACTTGACCGATAAATATCATAATAACAAAAGTCTGGCTAGCTTAAACGAGTTAACAAGAATAAATGTATCTTAAAATGCATAAATGATTATGTGGTGGTCAACTTTAAACATGTAACTTTAGACGTGAAGTTGAATATGTTTGTATATTGAGGTGTTCGTATATTGAGATTTAAGTTATCGTTAAGCAGATCGAGACGTATATACCATATAATATAAACGTACGTTTCAGCTAACCAGGCTTTGAATAAAAGATATTGAAATCAAATAATACAATCAAAGTACAACTGAGCCCAACTAGTTCTCCCATATGGGCACGGGAATGATTGATAAGGCGAAACATATACATGTATCTTTCAGGTTTCAAAATTTCCTCCTTGACAGTATATAGTCAGGAAGTTGCTATAAGTAATACCACGGACTTGGATCTAATTCCGTGGTAATACCGAGTCACCGTCACGTTCTCTCTGGAGTTCCCCAAGGCTCAGTCACGGGGCCCTGCTTTTTTCTAATCTATATTTATGATCTACCAGACTCTGTCACAAGTCAAGCTACACTTTTTGCAGACGACACTTATGTCTATGTCACCGCTTCATCTGACTCGGACGCAAAAACACTCCATAAACATTGCACAATCATTTCAAATTGTATTTTTTCATGCCTTTCTATAAACAGTAATGCAAAGATCTGTCAGAATATTTAGTTTGTTTTTATTTTGATATCTTTGAAAATAACTATGTAACAATGTTTTATCGTTTGCTATATAAATGGAAATACAATTTACCAATCAGTTATCTAATATAATACACACATATTCTATTCTGTGCTATCTGAACCGTTACCGGATTGATTTTCTTATTTTTTCTTATTTTTTTTTCCATTTATAAAGCTTTTATGGGTAATCCTAGGTAATGCGACCTATTTATATTTATATCTACCTTCATATACTAAAAATAGTCTGTCTCATTTTATAGTAATATCTGCCTTTTTTAACAGTGTATCAGACTCTTTTTAGATTTTTATACTCTGTGATATATGTCAAGGTGAATTAAGAAACCTTTTCTCATGATAGATCTATTATTATTCTCAGTCTTAATACATAATACTCTTTTTTATTTACAAGCTGCATTGTGATCTTCATTATATGTTTTATTCTAAATTGTGATGTCTTGTAATAACATGCCTATTTTACCTGAATAAATATTATCATTATTATTATTTAACAACACTGGCTAATGTCCTTCAACCCTGATAAAGTGAAATTCTACACATCTCGTGGCACTTCTGACCTGCCACACTGCAGGCAGGTCTCCTCTCACAAATTCTAAATGTACATGTTGTGTTTATCGTATACATCAGAGACATGTAATATATATACGTCCTTGTATACATGTAGCTCTAAAAACAAAATAACAATACTTGTATTTAACTGATCATTCTGACGCCTCTAAGTAATGTTAAGTAACGCTTTAGAATATCCTGTTCAAGTTGATGCCTAAATAATAGGGTAGGTCGGGCGGGATTTATTTGATTTCATTTTTTGAGGAGGGTTGGTTGGGCCACGGAATAAGATTAGATGTTATCTGAGTCCATGGTTCGGCTGATTTCAGAAATTACAAAAATCACCAAACATTTATTTAGGTATTTTAAACAATAATATGGGATTTAAATTTGGTTTTGATACCTGTCTGTGAATGAGAGAGGATATATATATGTAGTTGTTTGTTTGTCCATCAATTTGTTTGCATCCAGTGGACAAGTAATCCCGACGCTAGATAGAGAGACAAAAATATTAGGGTCAGAGGTAAAATCTAGGGTCGGTCTGGGCATAGGCACTTGACGCTTTGTTATGTCAGATTTTTTTTTTTTTAATATAAGTATACATTTTTTTTTTCAAAATTATTATCTGATAATTATCTGAATAAAAAAAAGAAATGACAATTTTTTTTCATTGGTTCGAATGATTTAACACTTTTGAGTCAGATCTTGGAGAAGCCACTTGGCTCTGCTATTCTTCATGTTGCTGAACCTGGACAAGGCTTCATACCCCTGTCAGTTTCTATTTCTATTCTCTATTAACATGTAGTTTGTATAGTGTTGTAAAGTATGTAATTACTACTACATTGTATTTGAATGTAATTGAGTCTGACAAAATGTTGGAAGACTGAAAGTTGAATTTAAAGTAATGACAATCTGGTGTAAAAAGTTAAACTGCTTGAATATAAACACTACTATCATGCATTTATTGTATTTCTGCAGTAACTGAGATGGATGTATTCCAGGATGATGCTGTGTTCCAACTCATTGAAGATCATTTTGATATACACGATTGAACCGTGTGGTTGTCCGAGGGTCCAACCAAAGCACTATCTAGGTATCCGTGGTCAGTCTTGGCCACCCAAATCAACTGGTCAGTTGGATATTCAATCCACTCTGGGAATATTGGAATGTCTCCATTCCATACAGAATAATCCCTGCACCAATACGAAGTCTTGTATCTCATTATCCTCCTCGCCAATAAGACAAAATTTAAACTTCCATTGTACAATTGAGAAAAATAGTCCTGAATTGTTGATGTCAGCAGAGGGTTTATTTGCCACCCGAGTGAACATATTAACTGCAGTCTCATTATCCGTTTATGATGTAACTACACTTTGCCCCCCCCCCCCAATTACCATAATACATACTGTGAAAAACCAATGTTGACATCAGATGACAGGCATGAATGGGTGGATGGACAATCAACACTGCATCATAGAAAAAAACCAATGGCACTTTGAGCTCCTTTTGAGCTAAAAAATAGCTAACAATTAAACTGATTTAAAATTTTATTATTGAATGAAATTGAATGATAGCACACAATGTGGATATAGTAAAGTTACCCTAGTGGCTTTGATGAAGACATATTTGTGATAAATAGTTTCTTCTGTTTCTCCGACACAAGTTGTTATATAGATTATGTTATCCTTGGTAGAACATTCTTTTTCTGTTAGAACACTCTTTATCTGTGTTAGAACACTCTTTATCTGTGTTAGAACATTCGTTATCTGTGTTTGAACATTCTCAAATTTCACATGTTTACTTTAAACCTTACAAAGTACAGTTTTAAATTTAACATATTATTGGATAATTCCCCCTTGCCAACACATTATAACCTTTATTAATCTGTCTGATAAGTAGGACAGAGTCAGTGAAGACAAGAACGTGGACTGATCTGTCTCCAGTGTAACCTGTCAGATCTATACGGATTAGTCCATACAAAGTGATGGCAACAGCTGGTAGGACAGCCCCAAATATATCGTCCAAAATAGTCGTCTTTTATCATTTGAACAACATTTTAACTAGCACTGTTTCAATGTTTGCTCTGTGACCAGCTGATAAGAGTCACACTCCCCAGTGTATACCTATTACACAGTAAGACATCACTTAAACACCACAGTATGAAGCATGGCTCCTAAACACTGCACAATGTTTGTTGTCATCAGGACATCTACATGCTCCTCCAGGTGGCGCTTGGGGTCCTGTCAAACACAAATAAAAATCATTAATCATCTTCCTTTAAGAAATGGAGTTTCTAACTTCCAGGCATTAAGTATTTAAAATGAGTAATTTCATATGAAATTTAGGTAACAAAGAATTTAAAAATGATGTATTCGAATTTCAAACTCCTCTTAAAGGGGCATCACGCTGAAGCACGGAATTAGAATATGTTATCTAAGTCCGTGGCTGAAGTAACTATTTTTTTTTGTCTTTTTTTTCAAATACTACATAAACATATCAAGTGAAACTACTTATGGAAAATAACGATCAGATTTGGCTGAAATAGATTCATAAAAATGATTAAATCTAAGATAATCATTGGTATTTCTACCTGTCTGACCAACGTTTTGTTCAGGGATTTCCCTCTACTAGCGCATGCGCATCGCACACCATTTATTTGTAAACAAAATGACTGGCCGTGTACAAGTGAAGTAAGCCAAAGAAAAGTGTTGTACCGTGTCAGCTACGAAGCGAAAAGTTGCCAAATGGTCAAAAGATAGCGCAAGGATAACGTTACGGAATCATTATTACAGGTGGGAAGTATTAAAAGGAGAAAATAACTGCCCTAGCAGTTAGTACAGTGCATGTATTCTTCTGGATAGCCGGTTAAGCTGAAATGGAATCGACAGAAATGCTAGCGCTGTTTATGTTATGAATAAATATCTAAAACTATAACCTCGCTAGTATCTTTGTCTGAGTTTGAACACAGATGAACTTAGTTTAATATGTCAATGGGCATGTATCGGAGAGAGTTTACTTTGTGTTTCTATAATTATACAGTGGTTTATGCGAAAGGAAGGGATAATTGACTGGTTAGTTTGATTTTGTCATGAGGCCCTCCAAGGGTTAACTGTTGTGATAGCCACGGCGTATTCTGTCTCGGTCGGTACTCGTGGTCGGGGTAAAATGAGATACGTGCGCTTTTAGATTTACATAATTTATAATATAACCAGGTTCAGTAAAATGGTATGATTAAATTATATTGCTGAATTAAAAGATTTTTTGTTTGTTTTTACATAGAAGATTTAAATTAGTACTAGTATGAATACCCGGCATCCTCTGGCGCAACGACGCAATATATAAAAAAAACTCTCATCGTCAGAAAGCTACATTATCGCAGCTAGATTAAAAATGTCAAAATGACGGGCCAGGATGAATAACTGAGAAAGAAGAACCTACTTCTAGTAAATAGGATCGCGTAACATTTTTTTTTTAAATCGTGCTATTTCAACAGTTCATGTTTTCATATGTTGTTGACTTAGAATGTCTGATCATGTAACAACCTTTTCTATATAAAGAATTAATTTTCGAATTCAGATAGAATCAGAATACGTATTGAAAACAGGGGAAGAAACATTTGTTTACGTTGTAAAAATGACGAGTGCTGCCGATAACTACGGCTTCTGTTTCGGACAAAAATGAAATTATTAAAGAAACGTGGACTCAACATAAAAAGGGTCCATTGACAAGAATGCTTTAATCTATGAAAAGTATTGAAAACATTTAATTATCAAGTAGCTCAACACGTCCCATATCTGACACATATTCTACATGTAAACATAGTGGTTTTGCCATACAGTTTAGTGTGTGTGATGGCTAATATGACTTATTAAGTGTTAGCGTATGGCAACAGTGAAAGTGGGAAAGAGAGTATACATACATTTGTATGCATGGTATAGAAACAAAAATTGGCCAAAGATATTGAGTTGTACAATGTAAAAAAAAAAAATCACAAACGTTTCTCTTTTTATACGCGTGTAGTTTGTCATTGCATATATGCACTTTATGAAAACATTTGAAAAGGGATATTCGTTTCGTGAATATTCCTTTTTACAGAAAGGTTTGTCCCATGGTTGAAGAAAGGTGTTTAGCCCCATACAGATGTCACATTCCGGTACTAAATTCAATATATATTTATATATATATACTTTGTGTTTATGCCTATTATCATTGTTGACATTTAATTGTAAATGTATGACGAGAGAAGACTGTGATCAATTGTAAAAACTTGTGCCCCATCCCTTGTTCAATTTTATTGGCAACAAATATGTTTAAAGCTAAATAAATATTCTGAATATTGGCAAGTGTGCAATTAACTTCTGATGATGAATAACTACTGTTCAAGAAGTTTTAATACGGACTTAGAAATCATATTACTTGGTTTCATAGTGCGGTAAGAAGTTGCAGTTGCCTGACTCCCCTCTATTGGGGCCCCTTTGGAAACCGTTTCATCTCGCCCAGACCGCTGGTGTTTACTGCCTAGTCAGGTGACGTTATCGGTGCTATTTTCAGCAGGGCTTTCCCGAACAATTCAAATGGTCAAACTGGACATTTGGAACGGACTATGAATATGGGGATAGCGAGGTAACATAAGTGGAAGTGCATACAATACATACATGCATAAAAAAAATATGGCTTTTCACGTGATGTCCCTTTAATTAGTCTCAATGAGAAAAAAAAAAAAAATCAACAAAGGAAATTTTATTCAAATAAAGGTAAAGTACTACATATATACTACTACATATCTAACAGTAACTTAGGCAACAAAGATTTTTTAAAAATAATGTATTCTTATTTCATACTACTTTAAGTCTCCCTGAGAATAAATAAATAAAATTGCAATGAAGTGTTTTTTTCTCTCGCTTATCGGGTAAACAAAGGTAAAGTACTGCCATTTCATCCCTATGAAACTTTAGTAGACTCTCCCATGCATTGATCTGGATGAGTCTGATACGGTCTACAGTGGTGAAAGGGTTAAACATGAACAAGTGTAAACTCTCTGTATCTAGTGTGGCACATAACCAAATTTGGTGGCAATTAAACACGTAGGTGATAAAGTAAGCAGGTTATACCCTGAACAAAGTGACACACTGACTGATGGAAGAAAAATTTAAATATTCACAAGAAACACACAAAACATACCAGTTTGCCGACATTCTTGATAGCAAGTTGTTCCTGGGTCATGTTTTCTTCCTCCTCCAGGGCCTGTAAAACAGAACAGTACAGTATGTTTACCATCTTTACAATTGGCATACCAAACAAGTATCCATCATTGTAGTACAATCAGTAAAAGAAAAGCATACATTAATCCTGTCTCACAATCAATGTACCGACCTTGTGGTAGTTTTTGGCCAGTTCCAGCATTTCCTTGACAGAATTCTCATTGTTTGTACAATGTGTGTTGTAGTCTTGTAGAGATAAACCATCTACCCAACTCTTCTTGTGTAAGTTAAGCAGCATCTACAAAGGTCAAGGTCACATGTTAGATAGCAACATCTACAAATGTCAAGGTCACATGTTAGATAGCAACATCTACAAATGTCAAGGTCACATGTTATATAGCAACATCTACAAATGTCAAGGTCGTATGTTCTATGGCAACATCTACAAAAGTCAAGGTCGTATGTTATATAGCAACATCTACAAATGTCAAGGTCACATGCTGTATAGCAACATCTACTAATGTCAAGGTCACATGTTAGATAGCAACATCTACAAATGTCAAGGTCACATGTCATATAACAACATCTACAAATGTCAAGGTCACATGTAAGATAGCAACATCTACAAATGTCAAGGTCACATATAAGATAGCAACATCTACAAATGTCAAGGTCAAATCTACATTTCGTTTCTAAAATCTTGAGTTTTACCTTTTGTTCCAGCTCATTTTTCCTGTAGTTGATGGCTATGGAATAGTAATGTCTGTTGAGTCCATGTATCAAAGCCTGCAACAAAAAGTAATATTACATTACTGTTCAAATCATAAATACAACACAGGAACAAAATAACCTACCACAACAAAAAGTGATCTCACATTACTGTTCATATCATTAATACAACACAGGAACAAAATAACCTACCTCAACAAAAAGTAATCTCACATTACTGTTCATACCATAAATACAACACAGGAACAAAATAACCTACCGCAACAAAAAGTAATATTACATTACTGTTCATATCTTAAATACAACACAGGAACAAAATAACCTACCTCAACAAAAAGTAATCTCACATTACTGTTCATACCATAAATACAACACAGGAACAAAATAACCTAACACAACAAAAAGTAATCTCACATTACAGTTCATATCATAAATACAACACATGAACAAATAACCTACCACAACAAAAAGAAATCTCACATTACTGTTCATATCATAAATACTACACAGGAACAAAATAACCTACCACAACAAAAAGAAATCTCACATTACTGTTCATATCATAAATACTACACAGGAACAAAATAACCTACCACAACAAAAAGTTATCTCACATTACTGTTCATATCATAAATACACCACAGGAACAAAATAACCTACCTCAACAAAAAGTAATCTCACATTACTGTTCATGTCATAAATACAACACGGGAACAAAATAACCTACCACAACAAAAAGTAGTCTCACATTACTGTTCATATCATAAATACAACATAGGAACAAAATAACCTACCTCAACAAAAAGTAATCTCACATTACTGTTCATGTCATAAATACAACACGGGAACAAAATAACCTACCAAAACAAAAAGTAATCTCACATTACTGTTCATATTATAAATACAACACAGGAACAAAATAACCTACCGCAACAAAAAGTAATATTACATTACTGTTCAAATCATAAATACAACACAGGAACAATATAACCTACCACAACAAAAAGTAATATTACATTATTGTTCATATCATAAATACAACACAGGAACAAAATATCCTACCACAACAAAAAGTAATCTCACATTACCGTTCATATCATAAATACAACACAGGAACAAAATATCCTACCACAACAAAAAGTAATCTCACATTACTGTTCAGATCATAAATACAACACAGGAACAAAATAACCTAACACAACAAAAAGTAATCTCACATTACAGTTCATATCATAAATACAACTCATGAACAAATAACCTACCACAACAAAAAGTAATCTCACCTTACTGTTCATATCATAAATACAACACAGGAACAAAATAACCTAACACAACAAAAAGTAATCTCACATTACAGTTCATATCATAAATACAACACATGAACAAATAACCTACCACAACAAAAAGAAATCTCACATTACTGTTCATATCATAAATACAACACATGAACAAATAACCTACCACAACAAAAAGAAATCTCACATTACTGTTCATATCATAAATACACCACAGGAACAAAATAACCTACCTCAACAAAAAGTAATCTCACATTACTGTTCATATCACAAATACAACACAGGAACAAAATAACCTACCTCAACAAAAAGTAATCTCACATTACTGTTCATGTCATAAATACAACACGGGAACAAAATAACCTACCACAACAAAAAGTAATCTCACCTTACTGTTCATATCATAAATACAACACAGGAACAAAATACCCTACCACAACAAGAAGTAATATTACATTACTGTTCATATCATAAATACAACACGAACAAAATAACCTACCACAACAAAAAGTAATCACACATTACTGTTCATATCATAAATACAACACAGGAACAAAATATCCTACCACAACAAAAAGTAATCTCACATTACCGTTCATATCATAAATACAACACAGGAACAAAATACCCTACCACAACAAGAAGTAATATTACATTACTGTTCATATCATAAATACAACACATGAACAAATAACCTACCACAACAAAAAGTAATCTCACACTACTGTTCATATCATAAATACAACACAGGAACAAAATAATTAATACAACACAGGAACAAAATAACCTACCACAACAAAAAGTAGTCTCACATTACTGTTCATATCATAAATACAACATAGGAACAAAATAACCTACCTCAACAAAAAGTAATCTCACATTACTGTTCATATTATAAATACAACACAGGAACAAAATAACCTACCGCAACAAAAAGTAATATTACATTACTGTTCAAATCATAAATACAACACAGGAACAAAATAACCTCCCACAACAAAAAGTAATCTCACATTACTGTTCCTATCATAAATACAACACAGGAACAAAATAACTTACCACAACAAAAAGTAATCTCACATTACTGTTCACATCATAAATACAACACAGGAACAAAATAACCTAACACAACAAAAAGTAATCTCACATTACAGTTCATATCATAAATACAACTCATGAACAAATAACCTACCACAACAAAAAGTAATCTCACGTTACTGTTCATATCATAAATACAACACAGGAACAAAATAATTAATACAACACAGGAACAAAATAACCTACCACAACAAAAAGAAATCTCACATTACTGTTCATATCATAAATACGACACAGGAACAAAATAACCTACCACAACAAAAAGAAATCTCACATTACTGTTCATATCATAAATACGACACAGGAACAAAATAACCTACCACAACAAAAAGTAATCTCACATTACAGTTCATATCATAAATACAACACATGAACAAATAACCTACCACAACAAAAAGTAATCTCACATTACTGTTCATATCTAAATACAACACAGGAACAAAATATCCTACCACAACAAAAAGTAATCTCACATTACGGTTCATATCATAAATACAACTCATGAACAAATAACCTACCACAACAAAAAGTAATCTCCCATTACTGTTCATATCATTAATACAACACAGGAACAAAATATCCTACCACAACAAAAAGTAATCTCACATCACTGTTCATATCATAAATACAAGACAGGAACAAAATAACCTACCACAACAATAAGTAATCTCACATTACTGATCATATCATAAATACAACACAGGAACAAAATAACCTACCACAACAAAATATCCCAAGGAACATGTTCAATTTCTTTATTACTTGAACTTTCTTATGTGTTTATAACTGACATAGTTATATCTGAATTACTTTAAAACAGACCTACCTGAATTGATGTGTCTTATTAACTCATTCACCCCTACCTATTTAAACTGGACTTGCCCAGTCTTTGATTTGGTAAGGTTCAAGTGTGAGTTTAGGGTGAATGGTTTGAATACCTGTATTGAGTATCTACCTGTATTGAGGGTTTGTGAAGATGTCCCAGGTTTGACGTTGTCTGGCGTGGTTCCTGTCCTAATACCATCATGTTCGGATTGATGAGACGGAAAGCATCTATCACCACCTAGACAATGTAGGAACAAACAGATGCTACACAAAAATCTATACAGTACAGGACAGAAACAATAGCAGAGCTTTCTCATACCAGTGTGCTGACAAATTAATAAAACACAAAACTTTGTTTGAAAGAGTATAGATTGATTAGTGTTGGGAATTGGTTGAAATTTTATGATTGATCATTGGTTACCATCAACCAACCGATGATCGATCAATAATCGTTTTATAGAAATACATAGTGAAATCCTCCACGCTGTTGTGTCACTTAGGCAAATTTAAAAGTGATACCATGTAATTATAATATAAGAAATACCTCTCTTCAAACACTGAATCTGTTATATATAGTCCTCATTAGCAGCTATGAGCTGAAAGTAAGTCATGCAGTGATGATAGCATCAATATTACAAAGAGGCTGGAAAAAATGTCTACTGAAAACTCCATAAAATCTACATATAAGCATTCCGACTAAAATCAATCATGGATTTTGTACTCCATTAATCAGTTTGTTAGCCTAACTGATTGATGCCCGACTTAGTCGATTAATCGGAACACCACTAAAATTGATATTACAAAACGTCTGCAAAGATGATCAGTTTCTCAACATGAAGATATTACAGGAGAAGACATATAGGCACTACCTGTTGTCTAGTCCTTTTGTTAATTCAATAAAATTTGTTGAAACCAAATAAATTATAATTTTGTATTATATATTTTCTATGAGGAAAATGTGAAAAGTTGACAATTAGAAAAGTGACAGACAAATAAGAGCTTACAATTAGTTAACACTAACCTTGCCTTTGACACTCTGAATAGGGTCAACGACGACGGCCACAGCACGTTCTGACAAGGCCTCAAAGCTCTGCTGTGTGTTGATGTCTACTCCAGACAGCCAGCATCCAAAGCCGGGATGGGAGTGATACCAGCCGACCACCATTTCTGGTCTGTAGAAAACATGTTCATGTAGGAATTAGTCTTGTTCTCAGATTCATGCATTATAATCTATAGAGGAAAATGTACTTATACTCTACATAAACAGTCGAAACACAGCAGAGTCAGTTCATGTTCTCGGCAAGTGAAATTTATAATCATTGTTAAAGATAATTTTCTGCTTGTTTGCTACAGTATTAATGTAAGTAGGTATAAGGGTTTGGTTTGGCTTGTGACGTGTTACAGGGTAAGTAAACTCTCACAGAACTTAATCAGAGTTTTGAAGTAAGTTTTCACTTATGTGCTACATTAGAAATGTCATAAGGTTAGCTGCAGGAATCGTAGCTTCTAGGCCCAATTGTTTTTTGTTTTTTTTAATTATCGGACAAAAATAAAAAGATTGGGCCTAGAAGCTACGGTTTCCGCTGCTATCATAAGGTTAACTACCTAATCGTTTACACCACCTATTCAAAGCGGAGAGCAGTAAGTACATGTACCAAATTGGTTTGTCATTGTCATATACAGCACCCGTGGCCATCCTTGTTCATGTAAACATTCTAAACCATGGTCATATGCCAGGTATTGTCAAGTAAGGCATTAGGAGACAAAAGAGTTGTTAGATAGAAGAAAATCCCAAACACTGCAATGGGTGCACATGCAGCAGATTTACCTGGGTATTTTAATCACTTTTATTGTCTCACAGTAGAAAGTACAAAAGAAAATCCCACATGCAGAAGGGGTTTCCACATTATTTCATTGACCCCTATAGTCACATTTAGACTCTTCCAAGGCCATGAATTATTATACAGTCTTTTGTTAAAATCCAGGGGTGAAAGAGTTAACCGCGGGCCATGTTGTATACAGTATAAAATGAACCTGTCAATCTGTTTACCTGAACGCATTATTAAATGTACTTGTCAATCTGTTTTACCCGTCTACGATATAAAACTTACCTGCCAGTCTGTTTTAACATGTCCAACATCTTAGCCTGGAATACTGGATCTACGGCTTCAACACTCACACCCTGTAAAGCGTCAATATCATAGAATATTATACCTAACCAAACACATAAAAGTTGTTAGTTTCTTAAGTTGGTAATCCACTACATCATGTTGTTAATAGTTTCTAAATAGGAAGCATAAATTCTTAAAACAAATCACACAAGTGATCATAAAAATAAGAAAATTATTGTGCAAAGTACATCACGTATCTTGAACTTTTGCACCATACAATGTAGGTGAGAAATTCATGAATGCTTTTTCTCATAGATGTGCAGAATGTGTATACCGGTAAGATATTTAATCTTGAAAACCTTTAAGATATACACAATGTACTGGAAAGTAGAACCATTTTATAAATCCAAGAATTGTATTGGAAAATTCTTTCATACAGTTTCTGTACGGTACATTAACTGTCAAAATACAGAAATTTTCCTCATTTATAGGAAATGTGTCTGACAGGCGCAGCAAGAATCAATTTAACAATAGATATTGATGTCCATTTCGATGGTTTTATTACGCGTCAAAACTTACAAGATTATTAAGAGAGCTTTTGTGAATTCAATGCTGTTTCAATACGTATCTGACATCTACCAAGATGGGTACTAATCTCACTGATCCTGAGAAACACATCAATGATATTGACTAGTCAAAATTTTACGACTTTGACTGGTACATAAGGCAAACACATCATTGAACAGGAACGGCCATTAACTCAGCATTCTTGACTTAGGAATGACAAAATCTTCAATGACCTGGAATGGTCTTAACTTACTGTTCCTGACTGAGGCATGGCAAACACATCAATGACCCGGACTGTGTAGTCATCTACAAACTCTCCAAGCATAAGTCCCATGACTTCCATGGGGACACCAGCTCGACCGTGCTTTAGCATCTGTAAACAGGAGCAATTTCAAACTCAGTCACAGAATTGATTTTTTATTCCTGAACATTTCATTGTCTAGGGCTTAAATACACTAAGAAATGGAACAATGAACAGTATATTCAGATCATAATGATAAAAAAAACATATGCAATTATGATATTTTAAAATCAAAGAATTAAAGAGTACTGATTTTAGATTAACAGCACAATTTCTTGATTAAAATAAAGAGTAATGTTTACTTTTCTATCACCACGATATTTAAGGAAAATAAAACATGGGGTTTAAACATCCATCACGAGACTATTCTAGTCTTTCTCTAGTCAAACAGTCTCGGTAAATTTCTATTTCCTGTAGATCAGTCAACTAAACTTATATTCAAGATTCTCGCCTTCCCTGCTCAGTCAGCAGCTAGCATTGTTCAAGTTCAACTTCTTGCCTAGTAAGATAGTCTCGTTTGAGTTCACCCATCCCCATGTCAGTTCTGCAAATCATGTTGATGTTCACCAATCCTGAATGCCCCACCATATCAATTAGTCTTGCTCAAGCCCCACCCAATAACACTTTTCTTTTTATGATGTACAAATTTTCTAGAAAATGTGATGGAATCATATGGCAAGCACATTAGTGAAAGGTATAAGTTACCTTGAGAAGGGCCAGTGATGAAATATACACCTGCTCTGCTGTGTCCACTGCAGGGGCATCTGTAGGAGGGGCTCCCTGTAGCACAATGTAGATATAAATAAATAAATATACAACATTTGATATAGCGCCCTATCTAGCTAACATAAGCCACTCTAAAGCGCTTTACAGTACATAGATATACAATTTTATACAGTCAATACAATTAGCATATATATATTAATCAATACAATATTGAGGAATTCGCAGGAACTGCCTTATCAGGCACTAACTACTAGTCCTATGCCACCTGGCTAATATCTCCCTATGTGTGTATGCCTGTGTGTGTGCTGAAGATGTATTTTGTTCTGTTTGTAGTGGGACCGTGCTTCCAACGCTATCATTTATAGTGCCACCTCACTTGAATGCTACAGCACAGATACCGCAACACCCACCCCAGACCATTTTTCACTCCACCTGGGTTGTTGGAGTTGTGTGGACAGGAGAAAAACACTTTCTCTAATATTCCATGCGTACAGCGACCACGGGGATATATTACATCCTGAATATATGACAAACAAAGGTGTTTTATATCTGTGTTAAACCAATTTTGAGACTCTGCATTATATGCTAAAATGATATATATATCATAATTCAACTGAAATATAAGTTTTTTACGGTATCATCATTTAAGCTTTTTCTTATGATGAAAATGTATACAATTTAAATTTTAGGCTTCAAAATATAATTATCATATTGACAATATGATTAAAAAGAAGAAATGCTCTGTATTCCTGTTGAGTATAGAGGAAAATTTGTTTCCAAAAAAGAAAAATGTGTACAATTTTTATCTTCAATATGCAATATGACAATCTAATTAAAATCAGATCCTAATTCCCATTCCTCTACGATACTCTTGGAACAGGAATGAGGATCTTCTCTTACATTCTAATGTTAGAGTATTGTAGAGGAACAGGAATTAGGATCTGATTTTAATTAGATTGTCATATTGCATATTGAAGACAAAAATGTACACATTTTTTCTTTTTTGGAAACACATTTATCTCTATACTCAACAGGAATACAGAGCATTTCTTCGTTTAAAGATAAAAAGTGTGTGGTTCTTTTTCTATGTTGAATATCTGTTATCCCAAATTTCACAAGATATATTAGTTCTCATGAATTACAAATGATTTACAGTCATAGACAGAAAACTGGAATGTAACAATTCTGAGGCAGTATTTATTTCAATTATTTCTTTAGTTTCGGTCAAAGACGCTTGACAGTTAGAACATATAGCAGGCTTACCTGTCCCAATCCTGGCATCCCTCCTCCTAGTCGTAAGAGTCTTTCCATTGTATTTCTGATAATAACAAACCGGAGAAAATGTAACGTTATATTTTATTGCTGTATTGACATATATAATATTTGTAACATTTCAGTTTTTATGAAAATGAAGCAAAAGTAATTACATCTGCAATAAAGCAGGTTAGGGATTTTTTTTAATATATTACCACATATTTAAATACTAGATCTATGCAGATGTCTGTGATTCTGATCTGTTGCCACTGACAGAGTAACGGGCTGTTAGCTAGTGTGAACAATGCTTGTACAGCTATGTAAATTTACGATAGTAAGCAGCAGTTTTCAGCAGTTAACTATTAAAATGTATATCTTACTTTGTAATGAAATCAATAAAATATAACAAATACTATCAAATCGTCTATAAAATATAGTGGAAACATTAATGAATTACCTCCTTGAGCCGGTCCAACTTGCAAAATTTTCTCGGAAGTTAAACGAGAATACTAAAAAGTAGAGGGGTTAACTTCCGTTCTGGTCTTTTCCGGAAAACCTACATTGTATTTATTTATTTAATATGTTTTACGGCACGGCCGTTTAAGTGAGGGCGGAGCCAGGTTGTACTGTAAATGTATCGGAATATCGATACTGTACTCTTTCAAGCATTGAGTGATGTGTTAAATTACTAAATCAGACCTACATGTATAGCTATAAAGTGTATACATGTATTACAGCCTGATTTCTTTTTGGCTGACAAGGTGTTTGCTATCTTGAAGTTTTCCGCCTAGGCGTATGATGACATGACATTAATGTCAGAATCATTAGACTCTATATAAATATTTAAATTTGCACCTCTTGAATCCATTGCAAAAATCAAATGCAGCGTATTCTACAAAGACATTGAAATAAAACATAATATGAAAAGGCAAAGCCTTAAAAGAGCAAAACTTTTGTTGATCTCTGATATTAACTGATTCAGAATGAGATAATACTGCTTTCAGAATGAGGTAAGATAAAATTTATTTAAAGTTGGCTAGTCGAGGGATAATAATAAAACATAAACTCTAATGAGATTAAGACCGACATAACAATAGGGGAGATAGGGGCAAATTCGGCCCTTTTTATAAAGTCCGTTTTGGTAAGTATGGCAGAACGTCCGTTTTTGAACATTATTTAATTTTCCCTGTTGGATGATCGGATGGCCGAACGAGCCCCGCAATGGCCGGATAGTTTCAGACAGGCATTCGGGTAAATTCGGCCCCATTGGAATCAGCTTAATTATGACGTTATAAAGCATACAACGTCAGATTTTACCGCCAATTTTACGACTTTTTATGTGTTACATTGGCCGAACTTGCCACGGTATCATTGGCCGAAACTGTCCGGGCCCAAATTGAAATTTCAATCAATTCTTATCGTACAGCAATATGGTAGTGAGTGGTTGGCTTGGCTTTTATGTATATCATTTGAAGTTGTCAGTGTGTTACACGTTTGACCGTAAAACAATAGCAATTCCGTTTACAGAAAGTTCGCATAACTAGAAGCGAGATCATGATTTTCTTTCTACTCTCTCAAAAGTAATTTTCTCCTGTTTAATAATTTTAAATTAGGGCTTTCCTTGCCATTTTTTCTTGTGAATGCCCAGCCATCTAAACTGCTAAGTTCTTTAAAGTTGTAAATATTAGCTCAAAAACAAAAATATCAAGGGTGGCCGAACTTGCCCCGGTCTCCCGTATGTAGATTTTTTGTATCGTTGATGATTGGTAAAAATGTATTAGCAATATAATTTTTGCATCAATGACGCAATTTTCAAAGTTAAAGTAGATATTTATTCTTGTGCGTAACGTATATGATGCGTCGGGTGGCGCAGTGGGTAGCGCGCTCGTATTCACCAAGATGGCCGGATTCAATCCCGGCTACCTGCCCGACCACGCAGGTTTTCTCAGGATATTCCGGCTTCCTCCCACATTAAGAATTAAATCCTCTGCGTGCTTCCGTCAGGTTACAAAAAGAATGATTGAAAAACTGCTTTGTAATTGCTATAGAAAAAAGTGCATATTAAATGTTAGTTAAAAAAAAAACAATAAAAAAAACCATTGTAATACTTTGATGTAACTGAAATTGTCGTTATATCGATATATAGTCTGAATTCCTGTTCCATCCTGAAACACCGGATTGAATTTCAAGTTTTGTAACTGTCACTGAGGTTTGACAGGTAATGATGCCTAATAAAATTAAACAGTTTCTGTCTGTAACTAGTTATAAATCGGCATGTGTTGTGAAAAAGTGATACGTTGCTGAAAAATGGCGTTGAACTCGGGTTCGTTGTCTGGACAATTATTGTTGATTTCGACATAAATGAATTATCCATTGTTTCCTATATGAGTGGTGATGCATACATAAATTATGTAAAGACTATAACCAGACCTTCAAAAACGTTAATTATTTCGTTCATATACACAACAAATCGAAATCAAAAGCTGATGACATTTTCCATGACATGAAGTTTCTATTGAAAATAAGAAGAATATGCGAAATCACAAATTTCTGGTCACGATCGACAAGCGTGCCATTGGTCTGGAAGCGGCCGTTGTTACAGTGGTATGGCCCTTTATGTACAACAATGCAGACAACTGCTCATTCAATTTATGACGGGCGTATTATGTTCCGTTTTTGCAATAAAAATTTAAAATTTCGTGGTTTTCACATATTAGCCTGTTTCAATGACATTATATTTCGCTGATTTCTGATTTTCATCTATCTATATCATACCAAATTTATGTGTTCGTCGGGATTTAATTTCGTGGATTTGTGTTATCTACGACATAAAGGAAATTTAATGTCCAATATTTATTTTTGATTTTACAGTATAACTAACAATTTGCTGTCAATGGAACACTCGTGATCGCTTCAATCTCACTATTAGGGTCAGATACATAGCGGGGCCCTTCCTGACATTTCAGTGATCTAGTTATCATTAGCTCTTTCACATTCCAAATATCCAGATTAATTGTTTTTTGAGCATCAATATTTTTTTTATTTTTTTCTTAACTGGATTTTGACAGGCAGTTTCAGTATCCATGCTATGTCTCATAAATAAGTGCCAAATACAGTTTAGAAAAATTCTGAATATCATATATATGCATCCAGCTGGACACCCCATGTACCATGACATACATATTCCCATTAGGTTAAAATCACTTAACTTCAACTTTTCTATTTTGCAGATGTTGGAGCAACTACCTCCTGAAATTTTAACACTGATTTTACGAAAAATTGACATCGGATATTTGATCAAACATGTTGCACCAGTCAGCAAACAACTGCATAAACTTATCCACAGTACATCGTCTTTGTGGCGTCACTTTCCAGGAGAGGACTGTTTGGAAAATCAACCAGACCCCCTGGAGTTCAATGTTGATACCATTAAAATTGTTTTAAAGCATGCTCAATTTTTCCACTGCTTAGAATTACCAAGCATGGGATGGAGCAACTCTGTTCCTGAGCTTGACTGTTGTCTGTTAAAGGGCTTATCATTAGCAAAACATATTGTATGGCTCGACCTACAAAACACAGCCATTTCTTCTTTGGGATTCTTGTGCGACATGACGAAATTGGAAACTTTACTGCTATCATGCTGCGAGAACCTGCTTGATGTGGACTTCACTGTAGTCAGGAAGTTAATTTAGAGTATTTAGATATCTCATTTTCCCAAATCACATTTCCAACTATCTCCTATTCTGTACCCAACAACATCCTACACTTGGAATGCTCTGGCATAAAGTTTACTGCAGAGGAATTGGAATATTGTCTTCAAAGTTACAAGAAGTTAGACTCTATTAGTGTAAAAGCATCACTGATGATTTCAGTAGATATCAATTTAGGTACCGGTCCGATTATATGAAGACCATCGTGTGACAGTGGAACCAGCATACTGGCTATGAAGTGCGAATTATTTACTACATGTATTGACAATATCGATATCCTTATTACCATAACATGACTTGCATAAACTGAGGTCGTTCTATGCACTTGTTTCATGCTAATTATAAAGGGGTCCTGATGGCAGAAAAGTTGCAAAAATATTAAACATTCTTGTAACATTTTAAGTGCACCTGTGCATAATATAATTGTCAGGTTAAAGAGTCAGTGTTAACTTGGTTATGTTATGGTAAGACAGATTATCATGAAGCTTAATTTTGTAATCCGTCTGTCTCTCCGTCCTTCCTTAAACAATTCTTGTTAGTCCTGAAGGGATCTTGCTCAAATTTCACATGAAGGTTCTCCATGGTCCTTCAAAATGCATACAAAATTTATGGACTGATCAGAAGATCAGGATGACTGACAAGTGGCCATCTTGAATTTTGAGTTTAAGTTTGTTTACACATATCTCAGAAGGTACAGAAGAAATCTTTCTCAAGTTTCTACAGGAGCAGTGGTCACAAAGTGATGACGTTAGGACAATTTTCCCCTATTGCAAAGAAAAATGGCGGTACCTATACAGGACGATGAACAAGTAAGGAACGCTCTCAGGTTAGGTTTTAATATATAATTTTGTACCTTAAAAGGGAAATGATTTTATGAATAATGGACAATCTTTTTACAAATACTTTCACGAACGGTTAAAATTTCATACACATGTAATTGTATGTAATGCTAGATTTTGATCATAAACAATATACCTTAATTCTCTAATAAACTCAATTATTTTTGAAAACAAAGATTTGTTTTCGTTCGTTTTATTATTGTTAAACATTGCTGTCATGTTGTGATTTATTGTTATAAAACTGACTAAGTCTAATACGGAAATAATGATATTTGGATCAATATTATTGCATTTTGATTATTAACAAAGCCATGCTCTTTCTTTGCGTTGATAAATAGTTCTCTTTAGATATGTAGTATCGGATATTAATGTTTAACGACACGTGTAGTATAAAACATGTTAACACCTAACCTTATAGTTTAACAAGGTGATCGAATTAACAGTATAACGGGTGAAATTGTTTACCACTGGGCAACCTTAATGTAAAATTGCTTTTGAGTTATACGGCCCGTTTTTACTATAATTATTATTAGCGAAACGTCTTTAAACTCATTGTTGCTGGAAAATAATTATAGAACGTTTTGTCTTTCAAATTGCGAAATGGTGTTGATAAGCAACAAGAATCGATCTTTTACATACTGTGATAGTCACCTTAAACTGAAACATTGAAATATCAATTTATCTGTATTGAATTGTTCTCATAAAAGTTGAACAGACAGTATATGGCATGTAGCTTTTAATAATTGATGAAACGGTTCCTTTGATGCATGTTAACAACAGAACAATGGAAGTCTGTATTCAGATGTGCAAATAGATAATGTCACCACAAAGTCTCAATTCCCAATGCCACAACATGACAAAGATCGTGTCGATAGTGACTGGCATACTTTCATAGGTTTGATGGAGACATCACAAAGAGTGCCAAGAGTGTCGCAGGATAGGTTGACCTTCAGGAATACCTT